GCATTGAACCAGAGGGGGAGAGCTACGTCAGTAACACCAACAATAATTTAGTGACTGCATTTTATTTATTTTTTATTTAAATATTGAGAATTTATAAGTTCATTTAAATCAATAATGTCAACAGCAAAATTATATTGGGGTGGCCAAAGGGGTGGCCACAGGGGTGGCCAGAGTTTACTGAGGGGTGGCCGTGGCCACGTTAGCCCTCCTGTATATTTTTCCCCAGTTTCTGTTTACGCAAAGAAGATTATTTCAACACATTTATAAACATCATAGTGTTAATAACTAATTTCTCATAACTGATTTATTTTATCTCTGCCATGATGATAGTAAATAATATTTTACTAGATATTTTTCAAGACACTAGTATTCAGCTTAAAGTGCAATTTAAAGGTTTAACTAGATTAATTATGCAAGTTAGGGTAGTTAGGCAAGTCATTGTATGTGATGGTCTGTTCTGTAGACAGTCGGAAAAAAATATTGCCTATTAGGTGGCTAATAATGTTGAGCTTAAAATGGTTTTTAAAAAATTAGGGAATGATTTTAATTTAGCCGTTTAATCTAGACTTTCTCCAAAATAAAAAAAATTATAGCAAATACTGTGGAAAAATTACTTTAAAAAATAACAGAAGAACTAATAATTTTGACTTCATGACTTTATGTATGTGGTCAAGTGTAAGAAAAATTGCCTAAAGTGACCAATTGTAAAAAGGCCCAATTGGACAATAGGGAGCTGGAAATGATCCAAGCCGAATTCAAACAAACTCACACAAGTGTCACCGTCCAACACGAAGCATGTGAGCTGCTCTCAGGTCACGTCTGCGACACCGTGGAGGTTTTAAAACAATGAGATGGGATAGAGAGTGGATGAGTTTGCCTCGCTGACTCATGGACCAGGCCATTTCCTGGCATAGACGTGCTAAATTCACATTAGCTTGAGCTATTGATTGAAGTGGGGGAGGAGAGAGAGAGAGATACATCATTCTAGAGAGATGGCCTCAAATGGACAGCCTGGCAGAGCAGTTTTGAACGAACACTCAGCATCCTTTTCCTCGGTGCAGGGCAGAAACAGCCAAAGCAATCTGATTTGCAGGGATGCCAATCTAACTGCTGGTGCGGGCTGGAGTCCAGGTTCAGCGGTGTCAGAAGCTCATTTGTGTAAGTAGAGGTCTTCTGCCTGTCCCGTAGCCAGGGGTTGTGGGACGTTTAGAAAAGACTGCTTCTAATAGCAGCGAACTTCATTAAAGTGGTGAGCCAAACTCCTTTCAGAGTAAAAGTGCTGAGTGTGTTACGTTTCAGTGAGTGCTCGCCTTTTAGCAGACTTCACAGTGGAAAAGTGGAAAAGAAAGGGATTTTTTAGCTATTTTAAAGCAGTTGTGCTCACTCTAAAATGTGACATTTGTTGTTAGTTCAAACTGCTTATTTATGAGCTTTTTGGGCATGGCTTAATTGTTTCATGTTCGATAAACTTAAATTTGCTTAAACTAACAAATTAACCTAATTCCTTCATGTTGTCAAAACAGAACTCGATTGTGTGGCACTCAGCATTTTTTAACAGTGCTCCACTCTAAAATAAAATAGAGGGTTCCACACATTCCTTCATGTTGTCCCAACACAAATCGATTTAACTTTATTGTGTTCATATATGTTTAACTTTATTGTGTTTACATGTGCTTAACTATATTGTGTTTACATATGTTTAACTTTATTGTGTTTACATAACTAAAATGATTCAGTTGTCACAAAAAAAAAAAAACTCTGCTCAATTTAAATAAGTAGTTTGAACAAACAGCAAAACTCATTGTTGGTTTTATGTCTTTTCATTGGAATTTTGAGTTTATATCTGTCAATTCAGATTTCTTGCTATTCCAAATTTATATCTGTCTTATATCTGTTTTTCTTATAATTCTGCATTTATATCGCTCATTTCTGACATAGTTTATGCCTTGCTGACATATTGTTAATTTTTTTTTAAGTTTACATCTCACAATTCTGACTTTTTTTCCTTCACCATACCAAGTTTTTCTATTTTTATATATTTTTTCTATTCCAAATGTATAACTTGCAATTTTGACTTTTTTCAGTTAATATCTTTCAATTCAGTTTTTTTTTCTTTCACAATTGCGAATTTATACATTGAAAGCAAACATTTTTGGATAGCTTTTGCACACTTCACTGTGGGAGATAAAAAGTGCTGCATAATATATGGTCACACTTTATTTTGATGGTCCGTTTGTTGAATTTAAGTTACATTGCATCTACATGCCAACTAATTCTCATTAGATTATAAGTAGACTGTTAGGTTGGGGTTTGGGTTAATGTAAGTTGACATGTACTTGCAAAGTTTCTTATAGTCAGTTAAATGCAGTATCAACAGATATTAAGCAGACAGTCTACTAATACTCAAATGGACCATCAAAAAAAAGTTTTACCAAATATATATATTTTGTGGAAACTGCGTAATATTACTGTTCTAAAGTACTATTAAAAACAATAATTTAGCACCAGTGTTAACTGATTATTAAGGAGCTGCAAATCCACAAATTAGTATGATTTATGAAGGGTCATATACACGCACAAGTTGCATAATGATGCTGGAAATCCAGCTTTGAATCAGAGTAATGCATGCATTTAAAAATGCATAAGGTTAAAAATAGTTGTTTATAAAATAAAATAAAATGTGTTTATTGGGGGGGGGGGGTCTCCACAGCATCACCAGTTCGTACCATCCACTTGGATGATGCGAAGGCAGCCACAGGCCAATGATGCCAGTGCATTTACCACACACCAGCTATAGGTGGAGAGACAGTGATAGAGCCAGTTCGGTAGACAGGGATGATGGATGGAATTTGGCCAGGACACCGGGTTTACACCCCTACTCTTTACAAGAAGTGCCATGAGATTTATGATGACCACAGAGAGTCAGAACTTTGGTTTAAAGTCTCATCTGAAAGACAACGCTCACTTACAGTATGGTGTACCCTTCACTATACTGGGGCATTAGGACTCACACCAAAATAAAATAAAAAAAATTAATTAATAAAATTAAATAAAATTAAATAAAATTAAATAAAATTAAATAAAATTAAATAAATTAAATTAAATTAATAGTAGTTTTATTATTAATAGTAAACAATTTAAAAAAAATAATCATACAGATTTTTGTTTTCTACAAACTCATAATAATTAATGAACAACAAAGCTAATGGTTCTTGCCAACTTACAGTATATTTTTGTTTTTAATAAAAAGTATAAGGTGAAAATAATTGTTTTACTTCTGTAACATGACTTCTGCTCTCTAATGTTGAATGTTTTGTTGCTTCATTTATTATCCTTTTATTTATTTTTGTATTATTATTTAACATTTTTGATTAGGGTACATTGTTTTGTTAATATAGAAACTAAACCCATTTTTACACAATGGTAATTAAGTCATTATGTTCTTCTAAATGAGTATGTTGTGTAAATGACTACTATAAGTGTGAGCCATCATCATCACCATCATCATTATCATTTTCATCATCATCAGACTTCTGTAAGTCTGCAGATGAAGCCTTTTAAAAGCTCTTAAGATGTTCTCAGACCTGCTTCAAAAGAGAGATATCAGCTTACAGTACATTAGCTCTCTATATTCTGACACGTCATGATGAAATATGGTGCTGCAGATGAAAAACAGCAAGGGCTGGGTGATGCATTGAAATGTATGGATTATATATTTGTTTTATATTTGCATTATTTTTTGCTGGCAAATTGAAGCAACAGTAAGACATCAATTTATTTTGCACAGTTGTCCATTTTTGTGGCTACTCAGTATGCACAAAACAATTCTGTTTAATTAGTTCAGTTAATAATTTATTCAAACTTAAAACAAAGTAAATATTATGTGTAAATGCTGCCCAGAAATGACTTTTGAAAGGAACTTTTTAGCCTAATATTTTTTATTATTATTATTAGTTTATTAGTTTAAGTTTATATTCCACAGTTCTAAGATTTTTTCACAATACCAAGTTTGTCTCAATTCAGTTTTTTTTTTCTTGAAATTTTGCATTGATATATCCTGGAATTAAAACATTTTCCCTCACAGTTCTGAATTTGCTCCACAGTTCTGACTTTTATCTCTTACAATTCTAAGTCTCAATTCTAAATGGTCTTATTTCAGGTTTTATCTTCGAATTCTGACCATTTTTATCAGAATCTGACTTTATATCTGTCAATTTATGCTTTTCATTTCTTGTTATTCCCATTTCATATCTCTTTTTCTTGGAACTCTTGAGCTAGCTTTTCTTTACTTAATTCTATATTTCAATGCTGACATATTTCTTTCAAATTCCAAGTTTATTTCTTATTTATTTTATTTTATTTTATTTTATTTATTTTCATGGATTTTATTTATTTATTTATTTATTTATTGTTTATTCATGTATTTATTTTTTATTTAATTTAATTTAAAATTATATTTTTATTCATGGCTGTTTTTATTTATTTATGTATTTATTTATTTGTTTATTTATTTAAATTATTATTATTATTATTATTATTTTTATTTACTTATTTCATTTACTTTTTTATTTTTATTTTTCATGGCTGTTATTTATTTATTGTATTGTTTAATAACTTTTTTAATGTTACTTTTATTTAATTTTTTTCTTCATGGCTGTATTTATTTATTTATTTATTTATTTATTTATTTATCCATGGCTGTAACAAGCTTCCATAGCAGCTCTGACAAAACTTACTGAACACATTTCAAAGAGTTTACACAATCACTTTCAATGCATTACCTCTAGTCGATTTCTTCAAATATGTTTGTTTGTTAGAACACACATAGCATGCATACTGTAATGTGCATCCTATAAATCATTCATTCACCATATCACACCCGATCGTTGAGTACACTGTCATGTATTTGAATGGGGTTCTGACGTGTCCCACTGTGCGCCTGTGCTGATGGCCTGTGTCCACTGTGTGGCGCTGTGCTGTTTGTCCTGTGTTGAGTGCAGAGCTGCAGCTGGTGGTGGAGCAGCACTTTCAGAGGCAGGAGCAGCAGGAGACGGGGCTTTCTGACAGCCCTGACACGCCCAGTCCAATCACAACACAGCATTTTGCCACCGAAGCTCAGTGGGCCAATCACAACAGCTCAGAGCCCAATGGCAATCAGTCTTATGTCAGTACTGAGGGGCAGCCAGGCAGCAGTGGGGCCGGGGGTAAGTTCAATACTAAAACTGCGGCCGAACAGCTTCAACTAGGAAGAAATCTATTTATAAAAAAAGCTGTGAGAAGACCGAACAAAGCATTCTATACGCTGATAAAGAATATTTGTTGGATTTACTCATTGTGAACAATTTATATGGGCTGAATTTAAACAAACAAGTTAAATTTAGTAATGTTCAACTTAATTTGTTTGTTTAAATTCAGCCTTTATAAATTATTTACAACCGCTTATCTTGAAAAATTTAGTAAATCCGAGGAATCATCTTTGAATCTTTTTTTTCAGTGAGTGCTCAGCATAATTGAGTACACCCCATTTTGGAAATTAATATTTTTATTCATTTCTCAGTGAATATGGGTAATGTATATTGGTGCATTTGATCAAAAACAGATTTATCAAACATATATATTTATTCAAATAATATTTTTTGTTACAGAACATTTTTAAAAATGGAATTATAATACAAATAAATTCAACCAAAACATTGCAAAAATTACAACCTATGAAATTTCAACAAAACTGAATATATTTTTGTTTCTCTTGTTGCATTATTGTAGGTTATTTTGTTAGATTATCTCCAGATTTGGCTTCAGTATTGACTATACTACTGTATATGCACAAATATATTGTAAAACATCCTATAGGAGATTTTAAATTAAATAAGAGATCTGTGGGGGTTGTACATATACAGTTGAAGTCAGGAATTTTAGCCCCCCATTTTTTTTATTTTTCTTTTTTAAAGATTTCCCAAATGATGTTTAACAGAGCAAAGAAATGTTCACAGTATGTCTGATTATATTCTTTCTTCTGGAGAAAGTCTTATTTGTTTTATTTCAGGTAGAATCAAAAAGCATTTTTATTATTTTTTAAACCATTTTAAGGTCAAAATTATTAGCCCATTGAGGCTCATTTTTTCGATAATCTACCGAACAAACCATTGTTATCCAATAACTTGCCTAATTACCCTAACCTGTCTAGTTAACCTAATTGACCTAGTTAAGCCTTTAAATGTCACTTTAAGCTGTATAGAAGTGTCTTAAAAAATATCTAGTCAAATATTATATACTGTCATCATGGCAAAGATAAAATAAATCAGTTATAAATCAGTAAATCAGTAATAAATCAGATGAGTTATTAAAACTATTTTGTTTAGAAATGTGCTGAGAAAATCTTCTCTCCATTAAACAGAAATTGGGTGGGTGGGGGGGGGATTGGGGGGGGGGGGAATAAAAAGGGGGGGTAATAATTCTGACTTCAACTATATATACATACAAACAGTGCTCAGCATATATGCATACACCCCTCACAAATCTCTCTTTTAAATTCATATGTTTAATAGGAAGCTATACAATATTATATTTGTGCACATACATTAGATTAGTCAGTGTTGAAGCCAAATCTGGAGCTTATCTAACAAAATAACGTACGATAGCGGTCCAAAAACTAGTACAGCCAAATTTATGTCATAGAAAAATAATAAATACATTGTAAGTTATAATTTTGCTTGCATTTAATTGTATTATCTTTCAGTTTCTAAATATGTTTGGTAACTGAAATATGATTTCAATAAATGTATCTGTTTAATAAATCTGTTTTGTTTAAATACATCAAAATGCATTCTCTATATTCACTGAGAAATAAATAAAATGTTTCAAAATGAGATGTACTCTATTACGCAGAGCACTGTGTATATATTATATTTTATTATAGTTGTTCATTCATTCACGAGCATCGAGCATGTACAATAAAGAAATGTATTGAAGCTGATTGCTTGGACAGAGGATCTGCTGGACCTTTTACTGACAAGACTTTTTTTGTCTCTGTCTCTCCTCCACTTTCTTTTAAAATTGTCATTCCTTATTTCCATTATTATTTTCATTATTATTATTATTATTATTATCCATTCATATACAGGAAACACAGCAGAAAGCTCAGGAAGCGAGCAGAAAAACTTGAGCAGTCCTTCATCTGTCTCTCGATAGCCGTAATAATGATCGTGCCCACCGTAAACCTTCCCAAACATTTACTGTTCCCTCACTCTCTGGACTCTGAATAATGAAGACACGCTTTCTCTAAACTCCTGCATTCTTCTGCATTTCTGGCCTCTTTCAGTTCATTTCCAGTGATGATGACCTTTCCTTTAGAGGGTTTTATTTGTGTGAAATGTAATGCCTGTTCTTCACTTTGAAATCTGTACTCAATTGATCTTCCCTGTTGGTTTTTCTATTTGATAAAAACAGCATTTGAAATATTTACAGTATGGGTATCTGTGGGATCAGAAATGCGGTGGCGTATTTTTGGGGCTCTTTCAGATCAATTGTGATGTTAGATTATTTATAAATATGTTGGTTCTTTTCTGATAGAGACAATAAAATAAATGATTTTTGGAGCTTGAAATAAAAAAAGAAAACAAAACCAGGAATGATGAACATATTTTTGAATTAGTGCTTTTTATCCAACACTACTGTACATTCAGGTGTGTAAATGAAGATTTATTGTAGCATCATGAGAGTCAAAGGTGAAGCACATTATTTATGTGCTGACTAGTGATCAACAATGTTGAAAAAAGGGGGGAATTATTGAGTAATATCACATTATTTAGTTTTAAATCAATCTTTTTGGTAAAGATGTCACCGATATTAAGATTTTAGAAGAGGCATGTTTTAAATATGATACCTGTCCTATTGTTTGTATTATCAAAAACTCAACATTTCACCTTTAAGAAACAAGCTTATATAATCTTCGAGCTGAGTGTGTGTGCGTGTGTGCATGTAATGTTAGCCTGATCTCACAAGGAAATGTGACTATTTTATATTTTATCAGTTTAGTGTCTAATTTGTTTAAGTTCAGTTGTATGAAAACGTTCAATTTTTAAAAGGAGGCGTGGCACCAAATCCCACCCCTAACCCAACCGTTAATGGTGAAGAGCAAATCATACTAAATTGTATGATTGTATGAATTAGCCACTAAATCAGAAATGCACAAATTGCCATGAGATATAGCATTGGTAAAGTCGCTATCAACCCTGTCAACCTTTGATCTTTAGTAGGGTCCCGTGAATTTATTTTTATATAATTTTATTTTATTTTTTTAATTTATTTGTGTGTTGGTTTTATTTTAATATTAGGTTTTTATGCTTCAAATTTTTGTCCAATTATTTTTATTTTTTTTCTGGACTCCACTTCAATAGTTACATTTAACTGTATTAATCGAAAATTACACATTATTTGTACAGCTTATGCAGCTGCAATTTTAATATTAGTAGTACATTTTATTTTGTTCTTAAATTGTGCTTTATTCCTGGTAAAATGTAAAACAAAGAAAATTCTTGGTAAAGAAACAAATTACATTTCCTTGTTTTAATGTTATTACTATTCTTTATTATTATTATCATTATTATTATTATTATTATTATTATTATTATTATTATTATTATTAGTGCTTTTATTATTATTATTATTATTATTATTATTATTATTGCTGTTTTGTTATTATTATTATTAATATTATTATCATCATTATTATTGCTGCTATTATTATTATTATTGTTATTGTTATTATTGCTGTTGTTATTATTGTTATTATCGTTAGTATTATTATTATTATTGTTATTATTATTATTATTATTATTATTATTATTATTGCTATTGCTTTTATTGTTGTTGTTGTTGTTGTTGTTGTTATCATCATCATCATCATTATTATTATTTTAGCCATTATTGTTTTTATTTATTTATTTATTTATTTATTTATTTATTTATTTATTTATTTATTTATTTATTATTGTTATATTTGCATTCTACTACAATAGTAATACATTTATGTCACAATTACTTCAAGTCAACTAAACTTTTATTTTGACAGTTTTTTGTAAAGATGCTATTTTACAAAAGATAAAACTGTAGCATTTTAGATCACAAACTTCACTATTCATTCACACAGTACATTACTAATAATACTTGAAGGGTTCAGATGCAAAAACCTCCAAGTGCCATCTAGGATATTCTTTTACAATGAGCTTTTTTTCAGCCTCTTATGTTTATGTTCAGTTATTTCATGCTAATTTTTAATGAAAATTTCAAATGGCACTGAAATTCAGTTTTTGTGTCTAAACTCTCTCTTTTAAATATTCATTACAGACAATACTTTAGATTACTATTTGATTTGATGCTGACAATTTAGCACAACATTCTATTTTATTTGTATCTAAAATTCCAAATTCTGGTGGTGCGGTGGCCCAATAGGTAGCACGATCGCCTCACAGCAAGAAGGTCGCTAGTTTGAGCCCCGGCTGGGTCAGTTGCCATTTCTGTGTGGATCTTGCATGTTCTCCCCATGTTGGTGTGGGTTTTCTCTGAGTGCTTCGGTTTCCCCATGTCCAAAGACATGCGCTATAGGTGAATTGAATAGACTAAATTGGCCGTAGTTTATGTGAATGAATGCAAGAGTGTATGGGTGTTTCCCAGTGTTGGGTTGCGACTGGAAGAGCATGTACAGGGTACATATGGTGGATAAGTTGGCGGTTCATTCCGCTGTGGCGACCCATGATGAATAAAGGGACTAAGCCAAAGGAAAATGAATGAATAAATGAATGAATGAATGAATGAATGAATGAATGAATGAATGAATGAATGACAGTCCAAATTAAACATCTTATTCAATTTTATTCATACAATATTCTGTGACTCCATTTGTGTTCTTTTTTCTGCTGTCCTACTTTCTTCTTTACTGGACTGGATCTGAATGGTAAGTGGGGTCAGTCCGGGAGCTGTGCATGCTGGGACTCACTGTGTGTTCATCTGCAGGTAAAGAGCACTACAGCGACAGCCAACAGGAGGACAGAGAGAGTCATCAACCTACTAGACTCTCTCAGAAACACCTGGACACACTGTCAGAAGAACCTGGTGATCTTTCACCTCGACGCAAAGACACACCGTACCTGCACCAGCCACCATTCATTCCCGGTAGGAAGAGTTCATACAATAAAACACTGCCATAGGAAAACATGACGTGATCCTTCACATCGGTTTGCAGATTATGCTGATTTGTTGTGTGTTGGTGTTGTCTGGATAGAATAGATATTGTATTTGTGTGTGTATATAAGGGCCATTCTTTAACTACAGGCACTTTTAGCCTTCTGAGTAAAAAAAACTTCAAAATTCAAAATTCAAAATTAGCGTAACATAGCCTCATAAGTTTAAGCATTTTGTCTAGTTTTAAGATCTGTAAGAGGACAAACTTAGATAAGAAAATAAATTTTTTTTCCATCGTGAACTGAACAAATGAAGCATGTATTACACAAACTAAATGAACAATGTTGACTCCCCCTGATCATCCTTGCATAATTCTCACACTGATTACAAGCACTATATAAAAAAAATTATTAATTATACAATATTAATAAAAAGCAGTGAGCAGTCTTGTGGGTCCCCGTGCATTAGCCTGTTTGTTAATCTGCCTCATGGCACTTAAAATATATTTACGTCAAACTCCCATTGCAATATCGCCATCCCGATTGATGGTATAAGAGTCACAACCAGTCAAATCTTTTCTTTCCACAGGCGTAAAGATGCTGAAAAACCAGACAGACCCTTCGTCACTTCTCCAGGAGGAAGAGGAGAGCAGCGGTGAACTGAAAAACAGCCAGACAGAGTAACACAACTGATATCAAGAGAATCATGATTTGTAGTTTAACTTTGTTCTGTTTTTTTTAAGTAACTTTGTTTTTCAGTATTAAAAATGTACGTATGTGCAAAATAAATACAGATGTAATTTTTTTTTTTTTTACTCCACCGTGGGGTCCAAAACGAACTTTATACAATACAGATATTAAACAAAAAAAGAATAATAAAATATACATTGTTTACTAGGCATTTTTGCTAGTTATTTTAGACCCCACTGCACATTCTTTGGTATTATTTTATTTCCTAATGTTAATTTCATTTTGTTGTAATTTGAAACAAAAATTGATTAGGATTTATTAATATATTGAGGGATTGTGAAACCTATCACGTCCTGCCACATTATTATTATTACTATTACTAGTATTATTAATATTGTTACTACAATATTCTGTGACTGCCTCGTATGGAAAGAGCTTGAGGTTAAGATGACACTTTCTCAGACAGAAGTAATATTTTTGTAGGTTTGTGGCTGTTTTGTATGCAGACGTGACTCTGAAGTCTCACACAGCTGTTGTGCAGCCCACCTGCTCTCATATGTGAGCATCAAACATGGACTTAAAGCTTCAGACATGCCATTACATTTTTAACAACACCCATTTTTCCTCGTGAAATAATCTCATTTAAAAATGATAATGATATCTAATTTTCTCAGATTTATTCATTAGCGCTTATGTAATTTTTTTAATTAGTAGGCGATTTTTGTTTGTTTGTGTACTGTAAATGAGCTTTAAACGATTAACAGGACTCTGTTTTTTGTTATCTCTAGTAAATTTGTTGAGCAAGTATTTCTGACAAATATACTGTATGAATTTATGTAAAACATCTCAGTCTGTCTCTTTTTTTAAAACTTTAATATCACATTTTTATTTTTAAGTTTATGAAGCTTAAATAAGGGCGAGGCAGTGGCGCAGTAGGTAGTGCTGTCGCCTCACAGCAAGAAGGTCGCTGGGTCGCTGGTTCGATCCTCGGCTCAGTTGGCGTTTCTGTGTGGAGTTTGCATGTTCTCACTGCATTCGCATGGGTTTCCTCCGGGTTCTCCGGTTTCCCCCATAGTCCAAAGACATGCAGTACAGGTGAATTGGGTAGGCTACATTGTCCGTAGTGTATGAGTGTGTGTGTGGATGTTTCCCAGAGATGGGTTGGAAGGGCATCCGCTGCGTAAAAAATGTGCTGGATAAGTTGGAGGTTCATTCCGCTGTGGCGACCCCGGATTAATAAAGGGACAAAGCCGACGAGAAAAGGAGGTGAGAGAAGCTTAAATAAAAAAACAAATTTCATAAAAACCACAAGATTTAAAAACTTTTGTCTTGTTTTTTATTATTATTAGGTGATTTGTGTGTGTTTGTGTACTGTAAATGAGCTTTAAAAGATTAACAGGACGCTATATTGTTTTTAAACCTGTAGTTAGTAATGAAGCTTATCAGGCAGTCAAAACCAAATTCATGTCTTGCCAGCTTCCTGAACACTCAGTTCAGTGATGAAACTAATCAGGTAGTCAAAGCCAAATTCATGTCTTACCTGATCAGCTTCATCACGTCGGGGTCACCAAGTTGTTGGGATAAATTGCAGATCGTCTGTGTGTTCCCTCAGTAAGCTGGAGCTCCAGGAAGGCAACAACAACTGAGATGTGAATTCAACAGTTTATTGCTCTCTTCTAAAGAAGTCTGGGGTATTCCCAGCTTTTATACATCATATTCAAGGGTACATGGGCTATGAATACGTGCAAATATT